CGAGGCGGCTGAGGGCCCGACTTGCGGGACCCCGGTGGGAGCCGGCCCGGCGCGCGGCCACCATGTCGGCGCCGTCGGAGGAGGAGGAGTATGCGCGGTTGGTGATGGAGGCGCAGCCCGAGTGGCTGCGCGCCGAGGTGAAGCGGCTGTCTCACGAGCTGGCCGAGACCACGCGCGAGAAGATCCAGGCGGCCGAGTACGGGCTGGCGGTGCTCGAGGAAAAGCACCAGCTCAAGCTGCAGTTCGAGGAGCTCGAGGTGGACTATGAGGCCATCCGCAGCGAGATGGAGCAGCTGAAGGAGGTAAGCTGTCGCTGCCCCGCGACTCCCTCTTCGCTACCCCCGTCCCGCGCCTGGGCCTGTGGGCGGCGTCCCTGGCATGGGGGGGGGGCGACCAAGGTCATCCTGCCTGGCTAGTAGATGCCAGGGGTGGAGCCGTGGGGACGCGGGACGCAGGCTGAGAGCCAGGGGGCGCGAGCAGGATGCGGTAATGGTCCGGCCCCGGCTGCTGCTGCGGGGGGCCGGGCGCGCTGCGACCTCCCTCGCCAGCCTGCCTGCTCCTGTGTCGGCCGCACGCGCGGGGCTGGGCTTCTGAAGAGCTGATTTTCTGCGGTGGTCGTTGCCCGGGGTGTGTCTTTGGAGGTGAGTTGGGGGGGCAGGTGCTGAGCCGAGAGCTGAAGCCACGCACGCGGGCGATCCGCTGAGAAAGGCCGAGCCTGAGCCTGTGTCTGCTCTGTCACCTTCAAGTAATCACTTCCCCTCTCTGGATGTAGCCTGCTTTCGGTGCGTTTCAGCTTCTTCCGTGAATGTCCTGAGGCCGGGGAAGGGCATGGCAGAGGCCTGAAGGAGCCGAGTCTCAGGATTGCACGTGACTGTTGCCGGCCGGGATCCCCCAGTGTCCCCTCCCCAGGCCCAGCGCTCTGCTCTCATCGCCGTGATTACTCTCCCACCGGCTGGGATGCATGGCGTCCCTCTCGGGCCCATTCTCTAGCTGTGGCGGTCTGTGATCCTCCTGGAGGGAGACCACGGTGGCCCGTGTTATTCTCTCTGTTGGGAGAGGAGGTTAGACTCCCAGGCTGAGGAAGAGCCTTGAGGGGCGGGGCAGCGGAGGACTTGGGCAGTCCTTCTCCTGGCATGGTTTAGATACCAATTTTTCTCCCACCTATCCCTGACTCCCTAGCCCTGTTGTGAAGGTTGGGGAAGGAGAAGTTGATTTCTGGGTGGATACACTGTGTTTGGACTCAAGCTCTGCCCCTTGCTAGTGATGTGGTTATGGGCAGGGGCCCTCCCAGGGGCCCTCCCAGAACCTTAGCTTCCCCCTCTGCAAAATGTGGATGCAGCATTGCTTCACCAGGAGGGGTTGTTCTGAGGATGGTATGTTTGGAAAGGCCTGGTGTGGAGTCAGATGTGTAGCCTATCGGTTTATCTGACAGCGTGCCCCCTTCCCTACCTGACTCTGTCCTGGTGAGCTCTTGGTCTCGGGGTTCACCTCCTGGCACCTCTGCTCCCAGCCACGATTGGACAGGTGCCTGGACCATTTGGAATCTATATTGCCTCCCTCTGGAGACCTCCCTCCCTGATAGTGGAGAGGAGAGAATGGATTAATCCAAGCAGGTGCCAAATCAGTGCTTGGGCAGAGCAGGTCCTTGGTTAGCACCAGTAAACGGCTGAGTCCTCCCACCTCGTCCTCAGGACCTTGAGTCTGTTGTCTGTCAGCAGGTATTGGCACCTTCTCCCAGCCAGGCTCCACTGGAACTGGATCTACAAGAGGGGTGAAATGCGGCCTCTCCTTTAAGGCCCCCCATCTTGGGGGTGGGGGGTGTGACAGGAGGAGGCCAGGAGCTGGGGGAATATGGGGTAGGAGTGCCCTCAGCACCATTTCTGGTCTCCTGTGATGGAGCTCACCCTCTCCATGGCTCCCACCCTCCCTAGGGACAGCACACAGAAAGGCAGCCCTCCCTCTCCCACGGAGTGAGTCGTGAGCCCCTCCCAGGGCTCCCATCCCCCGCTATTGCCTTCTATGTTCACAGCTTGCATTCAGCCGCACACTGTGAGAAGGGCTGTCACTGACCTAACTCGTGCCCACTTTGGGACCTTTCATTTGTCAGCTCTTTGCTATTATGACACAAACATTTTGGCACAATGAAGAAACTTGGCTCAGTTTTGCGGCATGTATCTGGAGGGCAAGTCCCTAGCAGAATCTGGAAGAGGACGTATGTTTCTGTAGGTGCTTGTTAGGTGTCTGCTTGCTTGGTTTATTGTCACCTCCAGGCTCCCTCACATACTGGCAACATGGCCTAGGGCAAATTGCCCCTCTTTTCTGAGCTTCAGTTTCCCCTTTTCAAGGTGGGGTAAGAGAGTTCTGTTCTGAGTCCCTAGAAGAGTCTTGAGGAATGTGCTTCAGTTTCAGTAGATGTTGCCAAAAAGTTTGCTCCAGTGCACCCCCCTTCCCATCAACAACGTGCCTGCTCCTCACCCATGCCAGCACAGGCTCATGTTAACCTATTTAACTTTGGCTAGTGTCACAGTTGAAAATATAAACTCTTTATTTAAAATATCAAGATATAAGGAGACAATATTTGTGAAGTTTTTTTTCCTCCTGTAGAGAGGTGAACACCTTAATCTTTTAAAAGTTTTTATCTCTTGAACCAAAGTGGGCTTAGTTACTGACAGATTATGCTGCAAATGGAGTTGCTTGCACTCCTGCCTGTCATTTATAGATATTACAACCCTCGTGGGAAGGAAGCTGGCTGGTCCCACGTGAGCGGGCTTATGATCAGAGCTGAGGAGGGTCCTGTGGTGGGGGAGTGGAGTCAGTGCTGGCCCTGCTGCCTTTCTCACTGGGGTTGGGGGATGTCTGTGCCCTGCTGACACCATGGCATGGGTGTTAGCTGAGGCCAAGGGTGGGGAGGGTACCCACTGAGCCATTTTGCTGGTGGGTTTTTTAGCCTGACTCAAGGAGGGCCACATCTTTCCCAAGTCCCACTGTGCCCTCTCTGTTCCCTTCCCTGGCATGGTGAGGAAGAGAATTAGGTGAACTTTGGTCAACCACATGGTGTTCCTGGTCCTGGAGACATCTTGCTCTGTGTCCTCATTGCAGCTTTAAGGAAACTGGTGTGCTGGGGTGGCAGCTCCTGGCTGCAGGGCACAGGCAGGGACCGTAGGTGGGTGAGAGGAGTCTGGGTGTCCATGTGGTCCTCATGGTCAGGGGATGGTGAGGGGGGAGGTCTGAGAACAGTCTTGGCTCCACTTGAGCTTGGCCTCCAAGAGCAGGTCTGGACACCCTCGCTGCCTTGCTGTGCCATCTCAAATGGTGCCGAGCTCTGGAGAACTAACGTCCTTGTCTGTGAGGCATGTATGAGTAGAAGTGGGTTTCAGGCTGGGCCCAGTGCCCAGCAAGTTCTTCATAAATGTCCTGTGGACTGAGCCTTGTCCTGTTTCCTCCCACCCCACTCAGGCCTCTATGTCCTCGCTGCTGCACCTGCATCCTCTCTTGACCCCATCCTTGTCCCTGCTCAGTCTCAAGTGGCTGCAGTTGCCACTTTCTGGGGCCTCCCTGAGCATCATGCCTGGGCCTGCACAGCCTGGCTTGACTTTGTGGCCCTTGTTCTGCACCTTCCTCCTTCACCTGCATGCAGGGGCCATCCTACCTCTTCCTGTGCTCACGCTCACCCTTCTTTCTGGAAGTCCCACCTGCCCTTCAAGCTTGGATGCTTCTCTCTGGGAAGCTCCCTTGGTCACCACCTTCTGGACTTGCCTCCGCCCCTGTTCTCAGTGCCTGAGCTGCTGGAGGAGGCAGGGGGGATAGAGGCATTAGGGAGGACTCTCTTCGAGGTCCACAGCTCAGCGTCTTCTACAGAGTTACTGGGATTGAGGCCCAGTCTTGAGCGTTTGCTTTCAGCAGGCAAAGTCCTAGTTTCATTTAAAGCATGTGGAGGATTCTTTAAATGAAAGAATTTCATTGCATGCATTTCTTGAAAAGAGAGTTCCATTCATTGTGTCCATTTCTTAAACAGTGGTTTGCTGTGGGCTGGAAGCTCTGGGACACCGGAGGGCCTTTTGGGGGGCCAGGGAGCAGTGATCTGCATGAAGAAACCTGGCTGGGGGTGGAAGCCGAGGTCCTGCAAATCCTTGAGGCACTGATAAGTGGCCCTGTCCCAAGGGTCTGACACTATGGGAGAGGCAGTTCCAGGCATTTAAACATGTTGACTGTGTGGTCTCACTCTTGTCACTAACTGCTGGGCAACTCCCACCATCCTGAGCCTTCCCTTTCCCACCTACGCAACATAGGGCAGGAGTCATGAAGAATCCTAAAGGGCTCTTGAACTTGTAAAAATGTCCAAAACTCCCATGTTGAGCCGTTGTGCCATCTCCTCCTGCAGGGCCTGGGGACTTGACTCCACAGGGGGAATTTGGACCCTGCCTGGGCCCTTGGGAGCTGTGTGGCCTTGGGCGAGCCACTGTACCTGCCTGAGCCACAATGGATTAATGATGGCCCCTGTCACTATAGTCTGGGAACACAATCAGGTAGTCACTGTCCTGCCCTTGGGCCTGAGCATCTAACTGATTAGAGCCCTGGCCCAGGTCCATGTGGGGTTCCTGCTGGGCCTCCCCTGTCATTCAGGGATGCCAGCCCCTTTCTTTGAGGAAGATCAGTTTCCTCTTTGTCAGAAAACCACCTCCACCACCTCACAGCAGTTGCCAGCTGCAGCCTGCAACACCACATCCACTAGCAAGCCTCAGTGCTTTGTTAAGGTAAAATGTCATGTGCGTTGTAGCATTTATGTGTTTTTAAGCCATTTTACATGTATAAAACTGTGTTGTCTTTTTATCATTAACTTTAAAAAATAAACTACTTTAGAGCAGTTTTAAATTTATGGAAAAATTGCAAAGATAGAACAGAGAGTTCCTGTATACCCCACACTCAGTTGTCCTATTGGTTACATCATGCATTAGTATGGTACATTTGTTACAATTGATGAACCAGTATCAAGTAATTATTATTAAATTTTTACCTAATGTCCTTTTTCTGTCCCAAGGTCCCATCCTGTATATCACATTACATTTAATTGACATGTCTCCTTAGGCTTCTCTTGCTGTGGCAGTTTCTCAGACTTTCCTTCTTTTTGATGACCGTGACAGTTTTTTTTTTTTTTTTTTTTTTTTTTTTTTTTT